TAGAAGGTGTTTGGGAAGCATCAAAAGTCCTTCTAAAAAATATTTTTCTATAAATTGAGATAAACTCTTTCACATATTTATTTTTTATACTGTAAAAATATTTTTTAAGTCATGGTTTTGATTCCATCTAAACACCTCTAATAGGCACTTAAAAATTTTCTTGGCTCTATACTGTTTCAGAAATATTAACAAAAAATATAGACTACCTTCCATCTCTAATATCACCTTCGATTCTTGATATAAGACTTTGTTTCACTTTTATTTTGGTTCTAAATATAAAACTCAATCCACTTTATCTGTTATATTTATATTTTTTTTCCTAAAATAGTCTTTCTAAAAATAATAGTTCTAACCAATATATTTTATTAGTAAGGATATTTTAGAAAAGACAACACTTATTTATTACAAATAACTAACTTAACTTATTTTCTTAATCTCTTCGAATTAGTCAATTAGCTCTTATAATTGAGATCGGAGGTAGTAATATAAGAAATAGTTAAAAATTTAATTTGATTATACATATAAAATCTCAATTTATTTTATTTTTAATATTCATTTATTTTGTTCTCGTGATTGTATATGTTAAAAAGTTATTATCATGAGATAATTCAAATGCATATTATTAATAAAAATATTTTAGAAAAGATGATATCTATTTATTACAAATAGCTGACTAACATAATTAATTTTTTAATATTCATAAATTAGTTATCTAGTAATTTAGTTCTTATATTAACCATAAGAGGTAATATAATTAATACTCCTCCAGTCTTTAATATGAGATCTGTTTAACTAATTTGATTAGATTAAGAAAGTTAGATAAATTAGTTAATTATAAGAAATATGACATGTTTTTCCTAAAATATCATAATCATCGCTCTTAATATCCTCACTCCCTCCTTTATTTGATTATACTTGAGGGAGTATCAATAAATGTAGTTTAAAAAAATTAATAAATATGATAAATATATCTTATATTTAAGATCAAAATTAACTCAATAATTAGATCTCATATTAATGACCGGAGAAGTATAATGTTATCATACTCCATTAGCAGCCAAACGAATACAAGTCACGGCGGACTTTATGCCACGCTTCGCCCCACGTATGTGTGATCATGCTTTCATCTTTAGGTGTCACTTGTCACGCTGAAAGTATTACAAAAATTTAATTAATAATAAACGCCCCAAATTTTCAAGCCTATGCATATAATATTAAATCATCATTTTTATATCTCCTTAAACTTTATATACGTAATACCCTAAAACTTCGACTGAATTATATGCATATATATCTTTAATTAAACTTTAAGTCATCCACAAATAAATAATAAAAACTTATAGCATGGAAGTTTTATACACAAATGTAAAAGTTCAAGAAGGTTTATTGTAAACTTTTAAAAATTAATAAGTAGGTTTTTGATGGAGAAAAGGTTGAGAAGATTATTTACATATAACTTTGGAGATTTGTATATTTTAATGTGAAAGAATGAGAACACAACACCGAAAGACCTTGGTCATATAACAATCCAAATGCATCCAAAATAATGAGTATTTTTAGATGGTCAAAAGATTAAAAGTACCCTTAGAAAAACAGAAGGAGAGGGGAGGTGGGGATGAGGAACTGGTCCTTGCTTTTCCTTTGATGGTTGAAAATTTATATGAACAGCAGGTACTAGTATTATGATGCGAGTACCAAAATTGGTTCCGCAATTGACAGCGGGTACTCACTATAAATAAACAAATATGATCTTCTATTATTTCAATTCTCTCCTTATTTGTTTTTCTTCTTTACAAAAGATGGTATTTTAACAAGAATTACTGGTATTTCTCAATCTTTTTAATTTATTTTTCAATCAACTCCCAGATTCAAATTTCTTTTATTCCCTCTTTTATAGATCACGCGTTTTTGTTTGGAAACTCATTAAAATTTATAAGTCGCTCATCATTCAAATAAAACCAATTTTTTGGTGGTTGTTGCAAAGATGTCGTGGTTCTAATCCGTTAAGCTAGTTTGTGGGGAAAAAAAAAGGGAAAATATTGTGGGGGAGAAAAAAGCTGGTTATGCAAGTTAAAGTGATCACTGGCGTGTCGGGGTGAGGGAAGGAGCATGGAAGGAAGACTGTGGACCCTTTTGGCCTTTTCTCATTCTTGAGGTTGCCCTCCAAACAAGCTCTCACAATAAGTAGGGCCTTTAGCTCTCTTCCCTTGTTGCAGAAAAAGAGAGAGGAAAAGAAGAAAAAAAGAGGAAGATAGAAAAGAAACAGAGAGAAACTGTGAGAAACTTGCAAAAAAAATTCTAGTTTCAACCATCTAATAGCACCATCAGGAAGGTAAACTCTTGAGAGCTTGTATATGTTAAGCATTAGAGTTTAGACACTCCACATCTAGGTGTAAGCCCAGGTCGGTATATCATACATCTATAACTCCAACTATTTTTCTTTTCCATTTTTTTTATCCTTTGGAATCTGATCATCTCATATTTCATTTGTTTCCTTTAGCCAAATGAAATAGTCTAGTTGTGTTGTAGGTCGTAGTATTGCTGGTTCTTCAAATTATTGGCTTAAACATTTATGGCAAGTAACGAAGGAGGATCTTCTTCAAACTCTTCCAACTCCAATTCAACCCAAAGAAATTGGCAGTATAACATCTTCTTGAGTTTTAGGGGTGAAGACACTCGTAAAGGCTTTACTGACCACTTGTACCATGCACTAAAGAGGAGTGGGTTCAAGGTTTTCAGAGATGATGAAGAACTTGAGAGAGGAGAAGTCATTTCCGAAGAACTCAAACAAGCAATTGAGGATTCTCTGTTTGCAGTTGTTGTTCTCTCAAAAAATTATGCCGCTTCTTCATGGTGTTTAAATGAGCTCGTACATATTCTTTACTCAAGAGACAATTTTTCTCAACAAGTTTTCCCCATATTTTATGATGTAAATCCATCTGATGTACAGTATCAAAGAGAAAGTTTTGCCGAAGCTTTTGCTAGCCATCAGATGCTTCAAAGGGACAATGAGGTCATGGAAAGTTGGAGAGATTCTCTCAGGAAAGTTTCGAACTTATCTGGTTGGGATTGCAAGGAACGGTGAGTCAATTTCTTATTGGGTAAAATTATGCAACAAATATTTATATTTGTATAATCATTTTATGGAACATATATTGATCTAGATGCAATCAGTCAGAGTATTTGTTTGACATGTATGTGTTCTTAGTTTAAAAATGAAAAAAACTAATTATTAAGATGAACATTTTAGTTGTAATACACAATTATACTTCGCATTACAAGTGTCATCATTCTTTTTGTTGTTTATTCAATCGTTCTTTCCATTTCTGTTTACCACTCTTTAATAAATGAGTTTTCACTGCTAACTTTTGTAGAAAAAAGAATTGTAAAACTTTTTTAATACTATTATTTGACATCGATACTATTAGTTATATTTGAGTATTGTGGAATCAACTTTATAGTACCTAGTCATTTTTTAGTTATGTTGTCATTTATTCTAATAAGTTTTATAATTATTCTTCATTTTTGTATTTGAAGTTAAAAGTTTTAAATTTAGATTTGTATTTTGTTAATTTGTATTTTTTATTTTTCATATCCACAACTTTTTATCCTTGAACTGAAAAGCTTTAACATCACAATTGGGGGTATTTGGATGAAACCAAATCATGGTTTGGAGAATAGATTCTTGAGAGAATAGATTTTGTGAAGAATATATTTTGTAAAAAAGTGATTCTGATAAAGTGAGAGTGTTTGAATATTTGTTATCAAAAGCACTTTTTATATCTGCAAATTACTAAAAAACGTATAAGTTAATATGATAATTACATAAAAGATAGATTTTATAATATATTTTAATTTGAAGGAATAAAATTGTTAATAATATATTTCTTACCAACGTAATTAATAATATATATATAAGATAATGTAATTAATATGTGTATATATATTTATAAAATATGTTTATAAATAGATAATTGAGGGGTGTTAAAGTCATATTATCGTTGAGATCTACTCTGACAGGCATAATCATACTTTCCAATTTGAGTCAGAAGCAGAATGGATTCACTTCTTCTGAAACCATGGTTTTAAGCCCAAAACCGTGGTTTGTTAATTCCCTCTGTTTCGCAAATGGTTTGGATCTCAAAACCATAGTTTCATCATATTGCCAAACATGCCCTAAATTAAGGCGCTTGTTGAAAAAAATGAATAAGAGCTGCATGTTTGAGCTGCTGCCAATAGTGAAATTGTGTCAATGTGTTGATAATCCAGAAAGAAAAGAATATTAACAATTGCAGACATTGGAGTAACAAATATTATACTACCATCAGTCTTAATTATAAGACCTCAGTTGTAGGTCTTATAATTAGGATTAGAGGAAAAATAATTACAAAATAAATCAAAAGTTATATTTCACATGGCCATTCATTCGTTATTGTAACTTGTAGGTCTGAAGCAGAACTTGTTGACATGGTGGTTGAGGAGTTGTGGACCAAATTACGTCCTAGATTGCCACCTTATACTGAAGGACTTATTGGAATTGACAATAAAGTGGAACAACTGGAGCCACTGTTGAAGATAGGTTCGAAAGATGTTCGGTTTGTAGGAATATGGGGCTTAGGGGGTGTTGGGAAGACAACAATTGCTTGGGCTATTTTTGAGAAATATCATAGCCAATTTGATATTAGTTGCTTTCTTCACAATGTCAGGGCAACTTCAGAAAAAGATGGTGGCGAGCTTCAGTTACAAAGCCAATTGCTTTCACATCTCAAAATAAGAAACATGGAAATTGAAAACAGCTATGAAGGGAAGAAATAATCCAAAACCGTTGTTGCAATAAAAAGGTTTTACTTATCCTTGATGATGTTAGCCATACAAGCCATCTAGAAAATTTGGCTAATAGCCCAAACTGGTTTGGTGCTGGGAGTAGAGTGATAATAACAACTGGGCATTTAGACTTGTTGCGTGGAGCGTGTGTTGCATATCAACATGAGGTTAAAACTATGAACCCAAATGAAGCCCTTCAACTCTTTTGTCAGAAAGCATTTGGAAGAAGTGAGCCTCAGGAGGATCTGTTGGAGCTGTCTAAAATTGTTTGTGATTATGCAGGAGGCCTTCCTTTAGCTCTCTCTATTTTGGGCTCCTTTTTCCATGGAAGAAGTACTGTGCAATGGGAAGATGCTTTAGACATGTTGAAGAAAGAACCACCTAAAGATATTTTTAGGACACTTAAAATAAGTTTTGACGCATTAACCGATACAGAACAAACAATATTTTTAGATATTGCTTGCTTCTTCAATGGTTGGAGCAAAAACAAAATAACAAAAATATTGGAAAGTTATGGTTTTAATGCAAAAATTGGAATAACAACTCTCCAGGAAAAGTCTATGCTAAAGAACTATGACAATATTTTAGTGATGCATGATTTGGTGGAACAAATGGGTAGGAAAATTGTTGTGGATAAGTCTTCTAATTATATTGGAAATCGTAGTAGATTGTGGACTAATGAAGACATTGATAAAGTTATGGAAAACAATTTGGTGAGTATTGATCTTATCTCTTATTGGTTTTAATATATTTTACATCTTATTAATTTCTTGTATAGTAAATTTGATACTATTTTTCTTGTGACCAATGTTGTTTATTAGGGTACAAAAGAAATACAAGGTATGGTTTTGTCCACATCTTGTGACACATATTGGGATCTTGAACCACTTCCAACATTGCATAATGTTGTTTATCAAGGCACAAAAAAAATAGAAGGTATGGTTTCCTCCACATCTTATAAGGCATTTTGGGATCCTGAAGCATTTTTAACATTGCACAACCTCAGATTACTGATGATATCAAGTGACTTTCATCTCCCTCATGGCCTCAAATGTCTTTCTCATGCTTTGAAAGTACTTTATTGGACAAAATATCCTCTAAACACTCTTCCTTCTGGAACCCGACTGCGTGAACTTGTTGATCTTAGAATGCATCATAGCAAATTAAAGAAACTTAGCCTGGTAAGATATCTTATCCTTTGATGTTATTGATAGTGTAATTGATTATGCTAGTTAGCACATTGTGTTTTGTTCAATGATTCTCATATATTTGTTTTTCTAGTGCTCAAAGAATTTGAAGATTTTGGACTTGCGTTACTCCAAAAACTTGATTGAAACTCCTGATTTTTTGGAACTTCCAAACCTGGAAAGATTGGAACTTGAAGGTTGTGAAAAACTTGTTGACCTTCATATTTCAATTGGACAACTCAAAAAGCTTCAAGCATTGAATTTGAAAGGTTGCAAAAATCTTAGAGCCCGTTGTCCAAAAAAATTGGAAATGACTGCTCTTAAAGAACTTGTTTTTTGTGGATGTATTCAAGTAAAATTTCTCCCAGAGTTTGGAGAGAGTATGAAAAATCTAGAAACAATTGATGTTGGAGAGACAAATATAGTCAGACTTCCTGAGTCACTTGGCTTATTGATTGGTCTTAAGACTTTGAAATTAAGGGGCTGTAAAAATCTTGTTTGTCTTCCTCAGAGCATCCACAATTTGAAACGCCTTGTAGTTATTGATATATCTGGCTGCTCAAAGTTTTCTAGATTGCCAGAAAAGTTGAATGAAATTGAAGGCTTGGAGGAGCTCAACGCAAGTGAAACCGATATAACAGAAATACCTCCTTCCATTGGTGGTTTAGAGAAACTCAAGAAATTGTCAGTCCATGGGTGCAAAAGGTCGATTTCAAACTATTGGAGCATGATTCTTCTGTGGAAGCACATGTTTTGGGGGCGTTCAGTTTATAAGCGCTTAACATTGCCTGCTTCAATGTTCAATCTTAAATCACTGACAGAATTAGATTTAAGCTTCTACGGCATTGATGATGGATCCATTCCGGATGACTTGTCTGGCTTATCATCATTGAAGAGATTAGATCTAAGTGGAAACAATTTTAAGAATCTACCTACCGGCTGCATATCTAATCTTTTGAATTTGAATAGTGTGATGTTGAATTCTTGCTCGGAACTTCAGTTGTTGCCGCAGACTCCGCCAAGTTTATGTTTCATGGAAGCAGAAGAATGTCCTTCATTAGAAATAGTGGGAGGCGAACAATTGTCACATCTCTTTGCAACAATGGACCAGGTATATCCATATATCATTATAGAATTCTACACGTTTACTTTGTTTTCAATTATACCATGTAATTTGATGCCCGATTATTTATCGGTTTAGGGGGAAGATACTTGGATGAACGAAAATCTCTCGGTGACTATACCTGGAAGTGAAATACCGTCATGGTTTGAGAATCAAGTTGATCTTTGTACGGATGAAGAGGGTAGGGCTTTCTTGTCCATGGACATACCTCCTTGGGAAGAAATGGTGGGAATTGGATTATGCACTCTGTTAGAAAGCAAGTTTTATTCCACTGAACCCGACACAAGAGAACGGTGTTTCTTGTGGTGGCTTTGTGATTGTTACGGAAATTCCAGAACCACCAAGTATTTAAGGGCGTTTGATTGTGATGGTGAGAAAAAAAGGAAGTCTCCTCACCTTTGGGTCGTGTTTTGGAAACAAAGAGAGGTAAACAGTGCTATGATGGAATTAAGAGAGCGCAGTCAGATTCCCTTCATATTCAATGCTGGCTGCAATGATGCGAAAGTTACAATAAGGTGTGGATGGCGTGTCATGCGCAAAGGTGATTTCGAAAACAGCGGTTGCTCAACGAATCAAAGTTTTATTCCAATATTAGAACAACAAATGGACCGAGTAAGTCAACTCCGTTATGCTTATTATTTTCATTTTTATTTCAACCTACCCCCTCCATCCCTATATTCTCTTTCGGCCCTAAATATATATATAGTACCATTTTAACTAATTTATTAATTAGTATTAATTTGTTACTCGTAACTAATAGTATGTCAAATACTCTTTTACATTTATTACTAACATTTAATGAGAAGTATTAATTAGTAATGGTTTTTTCACCAAAGTAAAAATTGAGCCTTTTCATTCACATGCAGAAGAAAAATAAATATTAGCTAGCTAGGGGTATTTTGATGTAGGAGAGAAAAATGGATGGATGGACTCTTATAAAGGATTATTAAAGCAAAGTAAGCAAGAGGCTTCTTTTTTTTTTTTTTTGATTGCAGAGGAAATGAAAACCAAACAAACTGAGAATCAAAAGTCGACAAAAAATGAGCTATCCTACGCCTTCTGCGTTCAGCACGTTCATGACGCTAGAGGGGCCTAAGATCTGAAATCCCGGGCTAAGGTTCAATGCGAACTTGGCGAGCGTATCAGCTCTTGCATTATCCTCTCTCCGGCATTGCTTCAAGTCGATTCGCCAGTCTCTGTTAAGGACTTGCTTCACTTCCATGATCAGGGACCAATCCTCATGTAAGTCAGGGACGTGACCTCGTATCAGGTGCAGTGCCTCGTAACAGTCCGATCTCAGCACAGCATCACGGATTCCCATATCCCAGGCTCGCTTAAGGCCGAGGAGACAACCCCAAAGCTCCGCCGTCAAGGCGTCTCCTGAGCTAAGTCTCGAGTAAAAGCCTTCCTTCACCTGGTTCGAGTCGTCCAGGATAATGCCACCCCACGCGGCTACAGCCGAGTCATAAGCGAAAGCGCCGTCAACTTCAATCACACATCTTCCTTCCGCAATCCTGCCTCCATCCTCCACTGCCATTGAGGTGCTCGTCAGTTTCACGTTGTGAAGCTTGTCTGTGATCTTGTTCATGCATGCAAGGATTGCCTTTGCATGTTCTATCGTGCCATCTAGTTGCCTAGAGCCGTTATTGAAAACCAAGTTGTTCCGGTTTCGCCAAATAGCCCAGCAGGTGACGACGAACATCCCTTTCCAATAGCAGTCCTGATTACTGGGATTTTGTTTCATATTCAACTTGATCCAGTCCTGTAGAGAGGCATTAAAAAAGCAGTCCATGGCTTCTGGTTTCACGTGACTCGCCCACATTCTTTTCACCACCTCACAATCCCGTAGTGCATGGGTGATGCTCTCCATACGGGATCCGCATCGGGGGCACGTTCCATCAATGTGCATGTGGCGTTTGAGTTTAGCCTCATTTGTGAGGAGACGTTCATGAATCATTATCCAGGCAAAGGTTTTGCATCTTTGTGGAATCTTTAGCTTCCATAGAGCTGCCCAGTTCGCCATACTATTCTGGGGTTGGTCGTTGAGACTGCAGTAGGCCGAGCGGGTGGTGAAGTCGCCGCTTTTCTCCCATTTCCACCGGGCACGATCCACACCGTTTTTGTCTTGAACCATTTGGATTCCTTCCCTGACTTTCTTCCAGTTCTGTTTTATCCCACTCCAAGTATTTGACCCAACTTTTTTATCGTTGATGCGTGGGAGTAAGTCTTCACCGCAGCCATATTTTCCCCTAATAACTTGAGCCCATAGAGAGTGTCGGTCATTAACAAGGCCCCACCCAAGTTTCATCATGAAGGCACGGTTTTGCTGTTTAATGTGTCTCATTCCGAGACCCCCAAACTTCTTTTCTAGACAAACCTTTTCCCAGGATAAATGGTGCATTCTTTTCTTCTCATTTGATGATCCCCAGAGAAAGTCACGAGACTTCCTTTCAATCTGGTCACAAATAGGAAGGGGGAGGTTGACTGTTTGCATGGTGTATGAGGGAAGGGCAGTAATTACTGATTTGACGAGCATGTCCCTTCCAGCAAGCGATAGTTTAGATATTTGCCAATTACTTAGCCGGGCTCGTACTTTATCCAGAACAAAGTGATAGGTATCTGTCGTAACTCGTTCATGGTGTAGTGGGACTCCTAAGTATTTCCCAAGGTTTCCTGTTCTGGCAAAACCCAACGCATTGCTCATTTGACTTGATCGAGTATGGTTGACATTTGCCGAGAAGAAGACTCTGGTTTTACTGGCATTTACTTTTTGTCCCGACGCAGAGCAGAAGGTCTCCAAGCAATTCTTAATAACTTCCACCTGGTCCATATTTGCCTCTGCAAACAGCATAAGATCATCAGCAAAAAATAGATGAGATAAGGGGGGGCCTTTCTTACCGAGTCTTATAGGTTTCCATTTCTTGTTGGACACCTCCAGCTGAATCATCTGTGCTAATCTCTCCATGCAGATAACAAATAAGTAGGGAGATATGGGGTCACCCTGTCTGAGGCCATGGGAGGGCGTGAAAATATCTGCTTTGCTCCCTTCCCATAGTATTTGCATGGATGGGGATGAGATGCATGCATGAATGACTTCTTTCAGCTTTGACGGGATTTGAAGATCATCTAAGCAGCTCATAATAAAGGCCCAACAAACTCTATCGTAAGCTTTTTCAAGGTCAACCTTGATGGCAAGGAAACCTTTTTTGCCTTTCATTTTCCTCATAGAATGTATAACTTCTTGGGCTATGATAATATTGTCCGAGCTGTTTCGTCCAGGAACAAAGCTGCTTTGATTCGGGGATATCACCTGTGGCAAACACATTTTTAATCGATTGGCCATGACTTTGGTTATAATTTTATAAATAACATTACATAGACTAATGGGTCTAAAATCGCGAATAGTTTCAGGATACTCCCTTTTCGGTATGAGCACAATGAAGGTGTGGTTAATGTCTTTGATTTTCCTTGGTTCTTCGAAGCAGTGCTTAACCTTCTGAACAAGTGACGGACCCACCAGCTCCCATTGGTTCTGGAAGAAAAGGGCGTTGAGCCCATCAGGCCCTGGGGATTTTAAAGCACCCATTGCAAACAAAGCATTCTTCACCTCCTCGATAGAAACGGTACTCCCCAAGTCATCCAATATGTCATTTTCCAAAGGCGGGAAGTGAACTACTGGCAGGTTGTTTTGACTCTCCCCTTCCATAGTGAAGAGACGGATAAAGAAATCAGTGGCCAGGCTCTTTATCTTTACAGGGTCGTCTACCCACTCACCCTCATCATTCTGAATGGCAACAATCTTGTTTCTTTTTCGTCTACCATTAGCACGAGCATGGAAGTACTTTGTGTTCTTATCCCCCATCGCGTACCATTTAGAGTTAGCTTTTTGTGCCCAAAGCAAGTCCTCCTGTACGAGGATTTCCTCCAACTCCACCCAAAGAGTCCTTTGGAGTTGGTCGAGTGAGGAGGAGGAGCCGGATGAGTTAAGAACCTTGTTAATCCCGTCGAGACGATTCATTATGTGTTTCTTTTTCCTGCCGAGATGACCAAAGACGTTGTAGCTCCAGTCCTTAACTCTAGCTGTGAATGCGTCAACATTTGCTTTCCAGTCTTCAAGAGGGTCCCAAGTGTCTTTAACTAAGCGAGGGAAGTCATCGTGGAGGATCCAAGGGGCAGAAAACCGGAAAGGTCGCTCTAGTCGTATCGGGGGGCCATCATATGCAGTGCTGAGTAGGAGTGGACGGTGGTCTGATTTGTACCAAGGAAGGTGCTTTACTGAAGCGTCCTTAAATGCATCTAGAAAATAATCATTCACCAAGACTCGGTCAATACGACTTTCACAACCTTCTCTTTTCCAGGTGAAGAAGGGGCCGTTGCACCCCAAGTCGTTTAGGTTCATGTCTTCGAACCACGCAAGAAAGTGCTTATCAGCTGGAGTTGTTTGTACTGCATTTGAGCGACGCTCATTGTGGAAGAGAGTAGCATTAAAATCTCCTCCTAAAATCCATGGCCAAGGTTCAGGTGGTTTAAGCGCTTCTAGTCTATTCCACAGGAGTCGACGAGTATTGGGATTGACGCTAGCGTATATGGAGGTCACGAGGATCTTGTTATTGTCCTTTTCGATCATAGCGTGGATAAACTGGTCGGTTTTCTCAAGCACACTCAGTTTGAACCCATTATCATTCCACGCGAGCCAAATACCGCCACGTGAACCGACAGCATCAACCATATTAAAGTGATCAAAACCCAGTGAATGGCAACGTTTTATGGCCTGTTCTCCTCCGGATTTAGTTTCGAACAAGGCCAAGACATCGATTGAGAATCTTTTCCTCATTTCCTTAATTAGTCCCAGAAGTGCTCTTGACCCTGTTCCCCTGCAATTCCAAAAGAGGCAGTTCATTTAAAACCATCTAATAGGGGAGCGTTGCTTATAGGCCCCTGGAGAGAAGTTTTGGAGTTAATAAATGGCACCACGTTCACGTTCTCTAACGTCATGTTCATGTCAGCGCCAGACTGGGCATTAGTAGGTGGTTGAGTGTCATTATTAAAGTGGGTATCTTCCTGTCCCTCTTGGTATGTCGGTCCATCAGACCCTTCATCATCCATTGGCACCCCACCCTCACTGTTTGCTAACGCCTGGAAGGGGTTAGGAGAGTTCAAAAAATGGCCCTTAGTGTTTTGGGTTTCCTCGTGTTTGGGCTTGGCCCACGAAGGAGGGGCTGGATCCTTTGCCAGGTTGTCATTTCTATCTGCGAGACTAGGCTCCCTTGAGGTCTGTGACTGGTCCACCGGGACCCACTTGCGGTTAACAACGGTCTTCTTCCCAAGATTGGTGGAGTTTGGATTAATTGCCTGCTGATCTGCCGAAATTAGCGCCTCCCTCTTCGTCCTTCTATTTAAGTCCACGCAGGTATCATGCAAAAGGCTTCTACATATAAAGGAGCAAATCAAACAAGCAGCCTTTCATATTTAGAAAGTTGGAAAGATAAAAAAGATGAGCATTAATCAAGGATATTAACCAATCTGCTTAACATTCTTTTTAACAAGTTTAGGTTAGATAATTTTCTTTTATAGATGGTAGCAAGAGCCCAGAGATGGAGGGAGAATATACACACACACGTACACACAAATAATAATTTTCTGTCTACCTACTTTTCCCAGCCTTTTGGTTATTGAAATAATAACTCTTTCTGTAAATTGAATGAATGAGTGGCAAAAATGGAACAACGACGAGAAGTTAACTTGGTTTGTTATCATAAAATGAAAAACAAGCAAGATGCACGTACAGATGGTGGCATGTAACTTAAATTAATGACAACTAAATGATATGCGGCAACATCTTAATTATTTTTGTGATTTGATTGTGCTGTTGTGCAGGTTTATTGTTTCCCTGTCCACCCATGTATCGATTCTGGATTTACTGGTCACATCAATTTTGAATTCACGGGATATGGTCCCGTGATGATCGGTAAGTTCCACGTAAACGCCACTAATATATTGCCTC